CCTGACACTCAAGTGGGCTTAGAGGCCACCTTTCCTAACTCCTCTGCGATCACAGGTTAAATTACTGACTACAGACTACAGGAGGATTTAGAATCTGTCTTTTAGCAAGTCTTTTAGCAAGTCTTTTAGCAAGCACAGACCTGGTTCTGTTTGTAAACCATTATAACGTCTTTGAGCCATTTTTATGCACATTAACAGTGTAACTGTGGCAGGAGGCTACCATGGACACTGGATGATGGTTGTAGCATATTTTATAAAGTGTTCTGACTTTATGTGATGAATCCTGAGATGCTTCAGATCAAATTCTACTAAAGTAAAGCAGCTTTTATGAGATGTGTTTGGTTGGGCTGAAGCAGCCAAACTGAGTGGTTGGCAGGTAAAATCACAGTCCTCTTTTTCAAAATAAAACACATGAAGGTGGATGCGTTTGAGTGTTTGAGCTATCTGAGCTTATATAATAACTGCAGAATGTTTCCGCAGAAGCATGAGGCCACAAAGAGCTGCTGCTGAATGTCTGTCCAAGTTATTCACATTTACGCCACTGAGCGCGCTCAGGCTTGTGTTCGTCATTTTGTGGCTACGATCAGCAGCCAAGGGCAAATCCTCCTCTGAAGACGTCGTCTGTGGTGGCTGCTCTCTGCTATCAGATCAAAGCTCACACACTTCATGCACACATGTCTGCTTCTCCTGCTTTTATCTGTCTTCCAGCTGTAATCTGCCACTTTCTGACTGTGTTTGTGTTTGCGTGAGCTTATTGGGATGATGACGGGAATTCTAGATAATCCACATTCTGATCGAGGTGCCTGATCCAGATTTGGGGACTTTGTTAATTTTGGAATGCAGATAGGAGACTAGGACCCTCATCTTTGTCTTATCTGCGATCCAAAACATGGCCGACGCAAATATCACACGACGTTGTATTGGCGGCTTTTCTTGGAGACGGATGAGGCAGCACGTGCTCCTCCGTGCTCCTCCGGGTCTTACCCGGCCAGGGTGAGCCTGGTTTGAGTGGCATCGCTCACTGGTTTGTTAGTTTTGTTGTTTAACCGGTGTTTTCATCATTTGTTCACATTTCTTTTGTTGAATCTATGAAAAATCCAAAAATAACACAGTTTGATATGAAATGACAATTTTGTAGCAACAGCTGCAAAAAAGACTCTTAGATGCAAAAAACCTCTGCAGATAACTTGGTGTCGCTACCTCCACCTGTTTCTGTTCCGCTGTGCTGTGGGAGGATGGTGTTAGCTCACATCCATTAACTTTACCTTTCCCGGCGTATGAATTCTGGGCAACGGTCCACATGAATTTCCACCAAACGTGGAGGAAATATACGGCAGGGACTCCCAGAGAGACGCGAAGCCACAGGCCGGACTGCTTGTTTGCTCTCGTCTGTCAAACTGCACATTTCCCCGACTGTCTGTAACCTCCTGCTGATGCTTCTGTTTGCTTTGGCGCCTGGGACAGGACGTGACAGCAATAACTACACCCAACCCCACCTCAGCCCAAACCATAGGACACACACACACATAAATTACCTGTTACTGTTTACCTGCGGACAGGTGTGTGTGTGTGTGTGTGTGTGTGTGTGTGTGTGTGTGTGTGTGTGTGTGTGTGTGTGTGTGTGTGTGTTTATGGCATACGCTGAGCTAAAGCTGACAGCATTATTGTGAGGCTACATCCAACCATTTTCAAGTATATTTCACATTTCAGTTCAGTTTTATTTGCATAGCACTAATTAACATCAACCTCAAAGCTCCATCAGATTGATTCGCTGTGAGCATCACCTGGTGATGGTGGGAAGAACTCCCTTACAACTGGCAAAGTTCAGTCAAGAGGCCTGAAACCAAGCAGTCAACAGAGTTTAAGAAGAAGAAGATGATAAAAAAGGATCCATGTTTAACATCCCCATTCATTAAATAAAACTGGACGAGGTACGAGGCCTTCCTGTGTTCTCATACTGCTCCGCAGGTAAAGGTGAGCTGGGTTTGCTCTGGGCTCCGCCTGCTGGTGGGGCCTCCCAGGTCCCGCTCTTCAGCAGACTCACCTGTCTTCATCCAGGTCATCCCTCACCTATACTTTAGGACCAGCAACACACAGCTGGACTGTCGTCTGTGGCCAAGTTTGCTGACATTTTGTTTTCCTGGCTTCTGAACAGCTCCCAGTCTTACCTGGTCAGAGATTCTTAGCTGTCTCCTTTGAGTTGCTCCAGCTGTCCTGGAGAGAACTGGTAAAGGCCTCACTGCTCACCTGGGTGCTGCCCGGGTAAGAACAGTCTTCATCTTACTGGACTAATCTCTCTAACACACAGATATCCGGCAGCTTCAGTGAAGAGTGTGTGCGTGTTATAATGTGTGTGTGTGTAAGGTATGAGTGAGTCTCTATGTGCTGGCAGCTCTGTTATCTGTGGAGTTGCACACAGTGAGACTGTGTTCACACTGAAGGGCCTCGCTGGGCTCCTCTGAGCTCCTCCCATTAACGTTGATGTCATCGTCCATGTTTGTGGACATTATGATCCACAGACGTCATGCTTCAGTGAGAAAAGACTCAAATTAAATCTTCTGCTTGGTTTTTATAAAAAAAATTAAAAAAACATCAAACACTCAGGGAGTGTTCGTGGTATCAGTGTACAGTCGTATCTGCCTCTGTGTCTGTTTTAATGCTTGTCTTCTCTTTTCTGGATCTTTGTCTTGTTGGGCTGAATAAATACGACTGACCTGACTGAGCACAGGAGAGAATCTGTCTGTGATAGACACCGAGGCCACACAGAATCCAGAGTTAACCATCAGCTTTTCTCATTCAGCACTTTCTTTGACCTGCTCTGTGGTCTGAGGCACTTTTCGTCTTCTGTCCCTGACACGGCCGGGAGCTCCTCAGGCGGAAGAGCGTGGCCACACCGCTCCCCCTGCTGGCTGAAGGGCTGAGTTGTAAGAACGGCTTCCCACCTTCAGTTTACAGCGAGTGCAAATATAACCGCGACTTCTGTGGTGACGTGTCAGCAAACCGACAAACTGTCTGCTTTCACACATGTCAAATTCTGTCTGTCTGTTGTTTTTATGTGACGCCTTAGGCCGTGGCTCTCGTTATGAACCAGTTTCCTTTCCTCTTAAACAATCGTGAATCATAAGAGGGTCCAGATTAAAGTTCTGATAAAGGTGGAGGTCTCTGAGCAGCGTTAAAAACAAGATGAAAGTCCTTCTGTGATGCTGCAGAGAACATCAAAGTCATGGAAGAGGAGATTGCTCACTCCTCAGTTCCTTGCTCAGAGACAAATACTGCAGAAACAACAGAATTATTGTTGTTGCTCCCTCCCCAATAACCGTTTGCAATACAATGGTTTTACCCACATGAGAGAGCAAGCTGAGGTTAATCAGTCTCAGCAGACAGAGGTCTGCTCACTGGCCGGTCCACTTTTTGTCGACATTACAGGATTTGTGGAAGAACAAATCATTTATTTGGTGCTTCAGTTAAATGTGAGTGTGTGATTACAGACCAGGCCACCGACAGGAGCCTTAACCTGTACCAGCTTCCACTATGTGAAGGCTTTCTATAAGATTTCGGTGTCTGTTATTTTTGCCCAGCAAGAGGAGCCTTTGTGAGCTCAGACACTGATGCTGGATGAGAGCACCGAGTCACAATCTGTGTTCTAGTTCATCCTAAAGGTGTTTGATGGCATCTGTCAGTAAGGTCCAAGCAGACTGACAGCCTTCCACAGAAACCCCAGACTCACTGTATCCGAGTAGACTCACTAATGATGAACAGCGGCCAGAGTGACCATACCAAGCCATAAAATACTGCAGTATGTTTAACTGACCATATCTGTCATTTTTTAGTGCTTTATTGTTCAGCTATGTTAAAATAAAACTTGTATAAAAATACTTTTACTTTACAGCAGGGGTAGGGGAACTCCAGGCCTCAAGGGATGCTGTCCTGCAGGTTTTAGATGTCACCCTGGGTGAAAACACACCAGAATCAAGTGATTGGTTCATTACCAGGCATCTGGAGAACTTCAAGACATGTTAAGGAGGTTATTCAGCCATTTAAATCAGCCGACACAGGCCCTTTGAGGCCTGGAGTTCCCCACCCCTGCTTTACGGGAACAGACTAAATTTAATAATTTTGAGCTATTTGGTCACTAACACGTTTGTCCTACAGCGGCCACTCTAGCTAGGATCATGCAATGGAGAGGGAGGGGGAAGAAAACAGAATTCAGCTGACTGCAAGCAGGTGGTGAAATTTTACACTGTTCCTTTAAGATTTCCTCGCAGTGGGACAGAGCATATCTGAGGTCAAAGGTTAGTACAGACTATTACACAACCTACAGTTTAAAAAAAAGATAATTTTAGGATATTTGCATTTGTATGCTGAACAGAGACAATATTTTGTAGACAGTGTTTTTCTAAAAAGACTCAAGTGGAAATAAAGTCTGACATACTGAAGACAGAAATGATTTATTTTCTCCAGCATTGAGACATTTGAGCATTATGGAGACAGCGGGCGAGGAGGAGAGCTCCTTACATTCCTAAAAAATCACAAAAACAGCAGAGAATAGACTGTAGTGTCGAGGAGCAGAGGGGAGGTGCAGCAGGTGGTCCCACCCTCACCCCCACATGGTGCAGAGCTCCAAATATCCTCACACAGCAAAGCTTCAAATGGTCTTTTTATGAATAAAATCAACAAATTTAATAAAACAGGTTCAGCAAACACAGCCAACAGGTTTCATCATTTACACCCCAGGAAATGGAGTCATCATCATCATCATTATTGTCATCATCATCATCATCATCATCATCATCATCATCATCGTCGTCATCATCACATAGCTGAAACTAAATCTAAGATGCTGCTTTTTCCTTTTTTCATTTAAAGCCT